CCATACTTGGAATTTGTGCTCTGCATTTCACCCATCCAAGTGCACACACACACAGCAGTGAGTAGTGAACACACACACACCATGAACACACACCCGGAGCAGTGGGCAGCCATTTTTGCTGCAGTGCCCGGGAAGCACATGGGGGTTCGGTGCCTTGCTCAAGGGTCTCACCTCAGTCGTGGTATTGAGGGTGGAAGAGAGCGCTGGTCATTCACTCCCGAGACTCGAACCTGCGACCTTTGGGTTACAAGTCAAACTCTCTAACCATTAGGCCACGACTGCCCCTATATCCCCACATAGGTGGTGACCAGTCAATGATAATGAAGATGAATCATTATGATAATTAAAATGCATCATTATGATACTTAAATTATTTTAATTAAAACATACTGTTGTCAAAAATCAATGATGAGAAAAAAAAATAACACTACAAGGACACAACACAAAAAAATATCTGAATACCGATGTATATGATGAATATACAAATACATTCAATATGCATATTTTAATATCCTAAATAGTCTTAAAAACATGTAAAATTAATAAGCTAGAAGCTAATACACAAAGCAAGAAGAATTTACAAAAAAGTCTTAAAAATAGCAAATACTTCAGTATACTCATATTTCAGGAGCTCAGTTTTCATATGCTGTATAAAAATGATTAAATCAATGTTTATACATGACTACATTTTTGAAAATTTGTGTCATTTTAGACAGTCGCTAAAATAACCATTATATTTGTTGACTAAATTTAGTATATGCCATGTGTCAACAAACATGATGATTGACTAAATTTAAGTCACATATTCATTAAAAGACAAAAACTGAGTAAAACTGTAAAAATCAACATTTCACAGTGTAACAACTATGCTGTTGACTTAAACATAAAATATTTGAGAGGGGTTTTATCTGGCTGACTGTGATTTCTCACACAACTGAAGTTAAAAAGTCTGATGTTAAGCAGTAATTTCTGACATTACCCAGTGATCGCCTGTGTTTATCAGTACTTCTATGGAGGTCCGCTCCCTCACCGTTCTCTCCCAATCAATGCCACCCAACCTACAAATGAACCAAATTATGTACACACAGGTGCTGTTTTTTTGTTTTTTTTTTAATTCAGAGAACTTTAAAAATTTAAAAGAACTGGGAATGAAAGCTGTAATAACCCTAAAAGTGGAAAAGACGGCACTAAATGCACAGGAATTTGAGACTAATCCTGAACTCTATTTAATTAATCTAAGGTCAGTTGAATCTACAGTATGTCGGAACAAATACTTTAATGGAAAATGATGAGAGCATGAGCTCACTGTTGGTCTGTTGCTAAGGAAACAGGGATTGATACTAACAGTAAAAACAATAACATTGCGAAATATTATTACAATTTAAAATAACTGCTTTCTGTTTTCATATATTTTAAAACATCATTTATTCCTGTGAGGACAAAGCTGTATTTGTCACATGATGCTTCAGAAATCTACAATTACTATCACTGCCAAATCCTAAAGAAAAGGGGTTTTCAACAAGAGCTTCATGACCCCTAGGGAGTCCACAGCAGTACTGCAGGGGTTTACCAATTACTGTTTAACCTCAAATTATTTTTTGTAAAAAAAAAAAAATGTAAAAAAAAAACCGTGACAAAATACAATAAACACCTTCATGTGGTATATTAAGACAACTTAAGATTGTATTTTTTAAGTAAAAAGATGATTCTTTTTAAATGTAAGCATCATATACATATTTAAATACATCAATATGGTACTGCATGTTAATTTAGGCCATGTTTTAAATGCAACACTCAATTTGATACAATATGTAACAGGGGTCCCTGCTTTGCCTCTTTATCCAACGTCATCCTTACTATATGTCCTCTTCTCACCTAGAGATCCTAATGTGTGTCTCTCTCCTATTTCTACCATAACACCCCCTCCTCCTCTCTCAACTATAAACAATCTAATTTTTCACATCTGCGTAGGGCTTTTTGCTGATGTCAGAACAACACATCTGGAAGAACACATGCTTTTGATTAAGAAACCATTTGATGAGTAAATACTATCAAAGTAAGACCAGATCCATGGTAATTCAGGTTCCCTTTCTATCTTTCCTGTTCTCCATATTTATTTAAAGTCGCAGTGTGTAATTCACACAACTAGCACTATTAAACAATAAATATTATTATCAAACAGGTTTCCAAATCACCCCATTCCACTGTACAGAAAAACAGGAAGTCCAACTGCAAACTCATGCTATTGGTCGAGCCAATGTTGCCATGTCTAGACACCCAAACAAACAGAGCAATGTGGAAAGTACAGCAGTCACACTTTTTGGGAATGTCAATCAATTTAAAATTCAAAGTACGGTAAATTATCAGGCCAAAAATGTTCTGTAACAAGGTACTCCGGATAAGAGCATGTTTTTGTAGCAATAACTTCACTGATAGCTGATATTTAAAATTCCTCTTGAAGATTATTACAGATAATTCACAATGAGGCCAAGCAAAAGTTATTGCTATAAAACTTAAATATTTGCAAACACTTCAATTAATGTTTGCACAGAGATTATTATGACTGCAAACCCATCAAATCTACAAGGCAAATCATGTTGACTTGTACATCCAGTCCATTGCCAACAAAATTGCTGCTCTTCTGGTCTCTGTATTTCACAGGTTATTCGACACCAAAAACTAATTTTATGTGGAATACCACCAAGTCTTTTACTTTCACTGTCAAACATCTGGCTTTCTGAAAAACTATATCCTAATAGCAGCTCTTGTTTTGGTGCAGATCTGGAAATTGGAGAAGTGCATACTAAACAGGGATGTGCAAAACTACCAGTACACTACCATTAGGGCTGCACAATGAATCGAATTTCTAAATCGCAATTACAATTATGGATGCCACAATTACGTAATCGTTCAAAGTTCATTTATGTTATTCTGCACGCTTAAGATATGTTTTTTTCTTTCTACATGTTATCTTAAGGGTTTTTCCATTGTTTTAGTTTTAGTATAACATTATAATACCATTCATATTTTTACTTTTTTATAATTTAAAGAAGAAACCAATCCAATGTATATTTCACATTTGAAGCTTAATACTATAGAAAAGCACTAAAGGTTTTTCAGTTAGTTTTCAGCTTGTTTATTTTCATATAAAAATACGGCATGCAGTTGCATCAAACAATGGTATAAACATCATTCAATGTAAATTGTGATAATCGTAATTAATAATCGCAATTTCAATTTCAAGGGAATAATCGACAATTATGATTTTTGTCATAATCGTGCAACCCTAACTACCATTCAAAGGTTTAGGTCAGTACACTTTTTTTTGTTTTATTAAAATTGCTTAAAGGTGCACTAAGCAATTTTTGCCAAACGATGTTGATATTTGAAAGCACCAAAACAAACACACCCATACCCCAACAGGACCTCGCCCCTATTTTGATAACTCCACCCCACACGTACGTTCACAACTGGCAGCGACGATGGCGGAATATGCTATGCCTTCCGGCCGCAGCATATTCAAGCAAAAGCCAACACAGAAAAGTTGTGTGAAAAAGCAAAATCAACATAACTCACCGATCAAGAAGAAACAAAGCAACCTCGGTGTCCAATTCCCTTCCGCTCCTTGAGTTTTCTCCATCGCTGGAAAGTTGCTCCAATATTTACACGGTCCTACCTCTTGCCTGATCGTAACCCTTCTTTTTAATGTTTTGTTCCTCCGAAATTTTCCTTTTTTTTCTTCTGCCATCTCTCGCTATCTATAGTCGATCTGCTAATATCAGCTAATATCCGTCCTGCGCACTCACTGAGCGCTCTCTTCTCCCTATCATTACTAGACACGCCCCTTACTGCTGATTGGCTGCGAGTTTGTTTTGGGACTCGGTCTGACACAGTGGTCAAAAGCGTTTTCAAAAATCACTTAGTGCACCTTTAACAAAAATACAACATTTATTCCTTCACATGAATAAATACATTAATATTTTAAATTTGAAAAAACTAAAAATATTCCACAACATTTACTGTATTTTTGAACAAACAGAAGCAGACTTGGTGAGCATAAGAGATTTCTTTACATTAAAACAATCTTACCAAATGCAAATTATTGAACTGTAGTGTACATTTTTTTAAAACAACTAGTTGGTGAGTTGCCATGAATGACTTGGCTTAGCAATCTTACACAACTTCTCAAAAATGGTGCAGTCTAAAATTGAAGAAATGCAAGCTGTCAGCACATTAGCACTGCTGCTAAAAATATCAAAACTAAGCCAGTTGAACTCCGTTGGAATTAGCTGAATGACAGCTGACTGGAAACATTTGCAGTGATGATTTAGAAATCACAAACTACATCAAAAGCTCCCTTAACCATTTTAATACCAATTGAAAGGATCATATTGACAAAGGGTGCATCTCAATCAGCTCCCTAGCTCCTGAGCTCATGAATCAGTATATCGTGTGCATGAATTGGGACAGTGATTACTCAATTTCCAGCGACATGACTACATTGGACAACATTGTAGAATGTCACCGTTGGAATTAATCAACAACAGGAAGAACCAATCTCTTTTTTATATATTTTTTTATTCTCTTTAAACACATTGTACTGTTACATGTTACAACATTTCAGCCAAATATTAATTATAAATGTTAACTAGATGTGTTCATTACCTGTCTAGCGATGTGTGTTTATGCTGAAATATATAAAAGAAAAGAAAAAAAAATAAGTTTTTTCTTTTCAAATCAGAGTTGGCTCGTGTGGTTTACGTTTCGCGCTTTAGAAATGTGACGTAATTTTCGGTAAGGGAGCATAGTGAGCATCGATGCTCCCTAGTTTTTGCAGAACATTGCGGGATTTTTCAGGGAGTGAACGTTCCAGTGCACTGGAAGGATTTCGCGAATGAGACAGCCCTTAAAATGGCCGACTCCCTGATCAGTGCCTTGATTACTGAACTAGGGAGCTGACTGAGCACCCAAAGTGTTTTTGCATTTGTGTAGAAACTTACATCATCCTCAGGGGTGGAATTCTGCATTGTCATGGCGACCACAGGAGATGCTGTTACCGGCCCAACAACAGAGATGGATCTGTCCTGAGTCAGTGTTGGCACGGTGACTACATGTGTGGGCACCACCTGAGGCGTCTGAATTTGGACAACCTGAGTAGGCTGAGATAGCAGCATTCGCTGACCTGCAAGAGAAACATACACTGTTTAAACACTTCACCGTTCAAATTAAGAGATGTGTTGAGTCCAACTTGTTGCTATATTTCTTCACTTTTACAGATTTTACATATCATTAATCCTAAGACTCTGAAAGTAAAGTTTTCACAGCACAAACTGGTTTAATAACAATAAGGAGAGAAAAACTGTTTGAATCACAAAGGAAACAGTTGAGCTAAGCACCATGCTTCACCCAGACCCAAACACGTCACCTCCAGAAAACATGGACAAACAAAATTTATCAGGCATGACGGGTTGCTGTTGGTGTTGAGTTAAATGAGAGGAATTTGCGGTGGCTCCCCGGCAGGGGTCATTCCGAACAACTTTCATTCTCTCAGCCACCAACTGACTTTACAATTAAACTCACATCAAAACTCTGCGGTTAGCCAGAAAATAATTACTGTAGCAGAATGCAATCAGTTCAAAGTGCACTTCCACAATGTTTCACACATATGGATTCAATAGATATATAAGCAGCTTGTGGCAGTTCTCTCTTTTCACAAAAGGCTCCTACTAAGAAAACAAGAAAAATAGTGTAGTGCTTTGTGTGACGTAACATTTTTAAACCAAACTGTACAGAGACACAAGACCTTATTCTGAGAAACCGGTCACACAGTTCTCAAAATATTGAGTGAGAAGTGATTGTTTGGACACACTGGAGTACAGTGATCTGTAAAATCAAGTCTCTAGTGTTTCAGATAAGTGTACAGGATAAGATTTGAATTCAGGCTGCTCTTGCCTTCTGCTCCACTTGTGTTTTCAGGTGTGTGAGGTAAGTGTTTATACTACGCATGAGGAAACGGATACTGAAGCATGCTGATTCCTGACAGCCCTATGGCATTTAACACACAAGACATTAAACAGAGTCACCCATTTCATCAGAGAACTCAGAAATCTTTTTCCTACTGTGTTCAATCACAATAAATCAAGGTTGACTTCTATAGTAAGAATGAATGCACTAATTTAAATACAAATAGAGTAATTAGCAGTCGCCCTAAGAACATTCCAAATGAATAAAATAGTGTATGTATTTTATTTTATAATTTATATATAATTTTACAATATAATTTCATATTTTTACATACACATATATATATATTTTTTTTTATATTATAAAAATTTTATAAATCTTATTAGCATTATTAGCATTTTGTTATTATGGTACTATAGTTACCATGTCTTTGCACATAATATTAAAGACAATATTTCTCATTTAATAAAGCAACTCCCAAAGTTCACAGATTTCATGGCACTGGATATTTTTTAAGATAAAATATTTAGTTTGAAGCAAATATGCAAGGATAGCTAGCTTACTTGCTACAACTAACACTTTTTATGCATATTGGTCAATTACCCACCAAAATGTCACATAAAAACAAGCGTCAAGAAATCAAAGTGTGATTGGCGGTTCAATAACTCAGTCAGGCAGGTCCTTCATATCTACTTCCATTATGTTTTTTTCTAGGGCAAGCTACAAGGCAGACTCTACTAGGCCTTGGCGATAAAACGGTATCGATATTTATCGACGGTACACCTTCTTCGATATCGATAGAAAACATTTTCGATATAGTGCATGATATAGGCACGTGCTATGAGTGACGCAGACAGCACACACAAAAACGAACACATGCTGAAATGAGTGCTGTGCCTGCCTGTGATGAGGAGATTGTGAATAGAGAATTAATATTAGTCGAATTAAAATAAACATTTGCATTTGAATGTTAGGTGTGCATCTGGGAGCATCATCAGTGGCTCGAGATGCGGTGATGATGATGTAAGTGACGTTGTTGCATTTGAATGTTTTGTTAGTCATAACAAATTAGATGCGCCGCTGCTGTGTTATGCATTCAAAATATTAGAGAAATACAGAAGCACAATGCGGAGAAGATCTTGAATAGGTTAAAACCGAAACCAAGCCATTCACACAGAACGCATATTCAGCGCATTTTTAGATGGACAAATATGACTGCTGCACTCTCACAGAAGCGATGTATAGAAAGCCATGCAAAGTTAAAACAGTTTAAACTTTTAGAAAACATGTCACGAATTTGTGGAGGTTTATTCCTTTTCACTGCGCCTCATATGTTTTTAAATGCAGTCTGTGTGAATGGCACTTCGGCTCTTTGGATTAAGCAATGCATAAATAAATGATGCTGTTTTGTTCATAATTGTTCATGCAATTTACGAAATTATATTAAATTTTTAGTTAATTTAGACAATGCACGTTTTTATAGAGTTACTTGCTAAATGAGTTGCATTATTTTGCTCATGGCGCCCTCCTGTGGCCTCGGGAGACAATTAGACCTATACAATAAAGACCTATTTAATCTGCATATAAAACATTAGAAATTAGATAT